GATTAGATATCATCACTCTTTCATTAACTTGGTATTTCTAGTATCTCCATGACCGTGTGGAAAGAATGGCCCCTTTTCATCGGTGCTCCCAGAAAATGAGCCGTGCTGAAAGAGCCAGGTTAAGTTGGGAGGATAATGAAACAAGAGAAAAGGGGGGAGAAAGCTGACAGAGGAGTAAATAGGTGCAGTGTGGGTAATTTCTACTTAGTATTTAAACCCACGTGTATAACAGTGTAAACACTCTAATGTCACTGAGAATAAGCAAATATCAGCCAGCACATAAACAAACGCTGTACTGAGAAATAAACAAATGGGGATCTAAACAAGCGCAGGTGACGTAGACAAGAAGGGGAAGTAGGGGAAACACATTAGAGTTTATTTTTAGGTTGCGACAGTACGGCCGACAACAAAAGTCTCCTTTTCACCTGATCGCTGAAACAGGTGGAGGGAGGGGGTATGATATTCCATTTCGTAGACCAGACCCAGGCGCATACAGGTTCAACGTGAAAAGTGTCTCTGTGGGTAGGCGCTGGTCTGACATCACCCAGAGTCGTGGATGGGAGCTTTTATGTGTAGTGGTGCCAGGAAGCTGCTAGCACTGTCAGCCAGTCTGAGTCAGCGCTACGCTCTAGACACAAACGTGCAAAAATCCATGACAGAGACGAGTTTCACAACTCTGCCAGCATTCTGCTCAAAATAACCTAAACAAGAAGGCCCGGCCCTTGGGGGGTAAAGTATTTCACTGGCAACAAAAAAGAAAAACTCCAATTTATTAGTGTTTGTTATGCAAAATGTTACTGTGACATTTTTATCTTAGCAATGAGGCTTTTTATGGTTGTTTGATTGTATATTACACTGAACAAGAGTGCAGCTTATTGAGTATGATTTTCAACTTTTTACTTTCTTTATGTAGTTTTTCAAAAAATTATCTACTGTGTTTCTTTAAAAAATAAAACTCTAGACGTCAAAAGAAAAGCAGCAGCTCATTAATGTTGTTCAAGTAATGCTTTGTGACTGTCACCTGCTCTCGTTCCAGAGGTCCCCTGTTGAGAGTGCAATCACCTTAGCGACCTCTGCAAAGACTCGGGTAATGTCATAACATTTTGTCAACACCTTCCGAATGAGCTATTGTCATTCAGACATAATTATAGGTCAAGGCCTGTCATTGGAAATGGAGGCCAGTGACCTACAGATATCACACTCTGCTTTCATTAGCATTTCATTGTCATTCAAACTGAGTCTGAGGCCACTTCACCTGCAGGCATGAAAGGTACCTGAAAGTCACTCAGCTGAGTTCAATATTGGATTTTCTTTTCAGGTGTGCTTCCAGGAAAGAAAATAATTAAAAATATTGTTTAAAAACTGATGCTTGGCAGTTGCACCTATCCAAACAGCTTATGTTTACCAAGTACCATTGGTTCCACTGTCTTCCCAAATCAGAGTGTGTTTCCTTCCTTACAGATACACTATCAATAGGTACCGTCAATGTTTCAGTTTACTAGAAGCCAAGAGCAGATAAGACTGAGATTACTGCTGCACTATCTCCAGGGGAGGTCAAAGCAAGAAGAAAATATGCAAGAAAGTGTACAGCAGTGACTAGTACACACAGCTGAACCTGTACAGGGGTGAAGGCCAGAATACATCTGCTTCTCAGTTGGAAGGTATTTCCTTAGTGACATAGATAAGCTATAATCTGATTTGACCTCATGAGTGAGGTGAGTGCATGTCGCACTTTAGTATCATTTTAAATCAGCTTTTTAAAAATGATGTTAATTATAAATCAGAATTTTCCTGAAATATTGACCTCTAAATGTATCTGCAGTGTTTTGGGCGGAAAGCCGTTAGGCTCTGTCTTTCTGATGAAGTGGAGCTGTTGTGGTTCTGAATGGGATATCAGAGAGGTGCAAGAGAGTCCGAGCAGGGAGTAAAAGGCTGGCAAAGTCTTAAAAAGTCCCTCTTAAATTTTACTCACCGCAAAATGCCAAAGCAGTGCCGAAGCACTCTGACCTGGAATGGCAAACACTGAGGAAGCCCATCCCTATGAGAATGCCATGGGTACTGCAACAAGTGTGGTCTGTTTCAGACATAACTTGTTTAAGAATCAGTTACAGCGAAACTGTGGAAGTACCCGGAAGGACACTTAATTTGTTTTGCCAAAAAGGATTTTGTTAGTTTTCCCTCTTGTGGTCTTTTGCATTTCAAGTGAATTATGTGCTAGTTGTGGTACGTCTCAAACAGATGTGAAGTCAGTTGCGAGTGCTTGAAGCCACTTCTGGGGAGATTTTTTGTTTTTATTTATTTATTTTATTTAAGATATTTGGATAAAATCTTTTTTTAAAAAAAAAAAAAGAACAAGAATATGGAAAACAAAAGATCAATGCCAATACCAATTCTCATCATAAAAACTATCATTTCTATTTCTTTCACACACTTCAATAGGAACACCACAAAGATTTGCACACCCACTAAACTAACACATCCACACACAAATGAAAGGGGGGGAAAAAAGAAGGAAAAAAAATGAGGGGCGGTCTGTTCAGACGGTTGCAGTGGAATCTGAGAGCGCTAGGAGAGGTGGAAGACATGATTTGGCAGTTTACCCCCAGTGTTTGCCTCAACATTTTGACGCCATGGCTCGAAGTCAAGCTGAGAAGTTTCCCAAGACCTGCTCAGCCTGCAGGTGGGTGTTCCGCGAAAGCGCTGAGCCTGGCCCCTGAGGATGTGTGTCCCCTTGATCGAGCGTACGCCGCTGTGTAGGGCACCTCAAACTCTTAGCAGTCAGCACTGTGAGGGTGCGAACATGTCCCACTCCTCTGATGCCTCTGTGTTAGCCATCACAGGGTTTACTCCTCAGTGTGTCGAGACGAGCTGCCTCGCAAACTGAAAAGGCAGCAGCTCTTATTGCACTTCCCATATCTGTTTAAAAGCTGCAAATTCTGTAAATTAGATCAAATATTCAGTTTCTAATGAGATTATAGGCTGTATTAAAGGAAAAACAAAAAACCTCTACTATGTTCCTCTATTTCTTGTATTTCTCTCCAACAGCCTTTTTTACATTTGAATCTATGTCATCTAGTTATATGAAGGGAAGCTGTAAGGGCCGTCTGCCACAACATCTGGTCGACCAAGAAGGCAAGGAGCACAATGAGAAGGGAATTAAAATAAATGTAATGAAAATCATGGGAACAAGACAGGAAACAATAGACGTTTACTTTTAAAAGAGAACACTTAAATGGGGGGAAAGGAGTTCTTTAAAATATTTAGAGATTAATCAACATGTGTAAAATAGTTTATGTACATGTTTAAAGCACATATTTTGACTACACCATACCATGACAAATATTCTCTATTTAAGCAACATTAAAGCTATATCAACATGTATTAACAGCAAAGATTTTGAGACTTCTCACAGTGGCATTTGTAAATGTTCACTAATAGAAATCCAAATCATAAAGTTGTGATAAAAATGGGAAGCTTTCAGTCCCTTTCTGTGGCTCCATGTGATCTCATAACTTACAGTTGGATTTCATTTCTAAAATTGAATACATGGATTAGAGGGACTGAACTCTGAACAAAGTGTCCTTTGTCCACAGGAAAACAAGTGTTGGAGGAAATCCAGAAAAGTAGATTTTGCCATTGTGACATGTTTTTCATGCACTCTTTTTATAAAAATAAGTTGCCCTCACTTTGAATGTGTGAAATGTATAAACAAAATCAATGAATGTTTTATGCATTCTGATTATTTTTTTTAAAGACAGTACATCTACTTATAGTAGAAGTTAGTGTCTAAATATGTAGAGAGTGACAAAACCTTTTTTTAAATATAACCTGCGTGTAAGTTCTTAAGACAAATCACCCGTCCAATTCTAAATCCAAAGCTAACCTACCTCACTCAAATAATACTGAAAGTCTGTCTAAATGACGTTAGAAATAACCACCAGTGATGTCACTTGTTGAGTTTGTTTAGGGGAAAACATGAGGGTGAGCGGTCAACCTGTTTGGACCACTAATTGTCCACAGATAGGAAGCTACAATTTTGAACTGGCGATTACATTTAAATTATTATAAAGAAAAAAACAAATTAAATACCCATTTTAATCATTGCAGCACCGCCACAAATCCACGGCTTCCTCTCAAGTTTCTGGACTGCTGTCTCCCCCTGTTGGTCAATGTGCACTGTGCAGGGAGCTGAGATGACTGAAGGCTGCCGCTCCGGAGCAGCTCTGCAGGGACTCACTGGCAGAGCTGTCTCTGTGCAGCACTAGTTTTTGACAATAACTGCCTCCCTGTATTCAAAGACCCATAAACATCAGCTCTACTCTTCATCGGTTCCTCAGCTCTGATTCAACGTAAGTGACCCTGTATTTATAAAATATAAATAAATAAAATGTTTTACTTATTTCCTGTAAATTACTCACACCGCTCAATATTTATCATAGAAAAATAGCAGAAACACAAGGATAAACTTAGTTGGTAAAGCAAAGGATTAAAACTGCAACATCCCAAATCTACATTCCACCAACAAATGTATTAAAATAAATCTAAGAAGAAGAAGTTGAAGAAAGGTTGAAGATTAGTAAGTATGACTTCAGTAAAGAAACAAAAACAAACTTGATTTTATAATCAAGTTTAAAAAAAAAGAAAAATACAAGAGTTTTAATGAGAATCATACCTATATTAAAGATAGGGCGGGTTTTGTGCCTGTTACCATAAAAAGGAAGTTCATTTTATCTGATTTTAATGTACGAGTAACTAAATCAGTTTATATCATAAGCATGCTCTTTTAAAAAGGTACAAAGTTACAAAGTTGAAATGAAATGAAAGACAATAAGGGGAAAAACACGTTTTCCTAACTTGAGCTGAGTTTTCGGTTGTTGACTGCAAGACTTCTCTGGAGCAGAGTCAAATTACGTCCCCGCCTACTAAAAAGTTTCCCCCAATCATTTCCTTGCCGTTAAAACATAAATCCAGGCATCGCCTCCCGTGTCTATAGACTCTTCAGCAATCCTGCAACAGCAGTACTCTCACGTTTGTCTTCAAAGTCACAGTTTCGAAGCTAAGTATTTGAAAGCGACCACTTACAGATGGTTTTCTTCTCTGCGAAATTGTGAGCATTCAGCGGAACAGAAATATTTCCATATTTACTTATTTTTTCTTATTTTTTTGTTTATTTTTATTTTTTCATTTTAAAGTTTGCCCCCGGCAAGCTGACACTGCAGCTTTGGGGCATATCACCTGGATATAGAAAGAAGGATTTTTCCTCCTATTTTTTTAAATTATTTTTTTTTTAACTGCGAGAAGCTGTTCTTTAATTTTTTCGCATGAATCTCCTCGACCCTTACCTGAAGATGACAGAAGAACAGGAGAAGTGTCACTCTGACGCTCCCAGCCCAAGCATGTCTGAGGATTCCGCGGGCTCGCCTTGTCCGTCCGGGTCGGGTTCGGACACTGAAAACACTCGTCCGTCCGACAACCACCTCCTCATGGGTCAAGACTATAAGAAGGAAACCGAAGAGGAAAAGTTTCCCGTGTGTATCAGAGACGCGGTGTCTCAGGTGTTGAAGGGTTACGACTGGACGCTCGTGCCTATGCCGGTGCGCGTCAACGGCTCGAGTAAAAGCAAACCCCACGTCAAAAGACCCATGAACGCGTTCATGGTGTGGGCTCAAGCTGCACGGAGAAAGTTGGCCGATCAATACCCACACCTGCACAACGCAGAACTCAGCAAAACCCTGGGCAAACTTTGGAGGTAGGCTCGCCTTAGTTTATCGTTCACTTTTACAATGCACTTTTACGCGCCGCTGTGCGCGGCACATTATTTATTAACGTACAGATTCCTGCTCTTTCAAGTTTAGCTTTGCAGTATTTTGATTTGAATGCTTCTACTCACCTATGCTTTTGATTTTATGAGTATTTTAAGTTCATTGTTATGCATACAATGACTTCTAAAGAATTACGATGCTAACTTTTTTTTTTTGTAATGATCAGCGCTAATTACCAACTGCACAGATTGAATCAGTGTGCTTAGCTTCTGCAACTGTTTACGAAGCGCAGTTTAACAAGTTTGTACAATTCCGTGTGTTATTTTCAGATTGCTCAATGAGGTAGAGAAGCGCCCGTTTGTGGAGGAGGCTGAGCGTTTGCGAGTGCAACATAAGAAGGATCACCCCGACTACAAATATCAGCCAAGGCGGAGAAAGTCTGTCAAGAACGGGCAAAGCGAACCGGAGGACAACGACCAAACTCATATCTCTCCAAATGCCATTTTCAAGGCGTTGCAGCAGGCCGACTCCCCGGCTTCAAGTATGGGCGAGGTGCACTCTCCGGGAGAGCACTCAGGTGAGGGAACAAGAAATAAAAAGCAAATATATTTTCTGTAATGTTTATGTTTTTTCAAAAGTTTCAGTTTGGATTAAAAAGATATTTTTTAGAAGCCCTCAGGGCCTTAACTGGAGAACTGTTAATGATTAGTAGTTAATGATTATTAGGTTTTACAAGCCATCATGCAAATACACCTGCCTGTAGTTACAATAAACCTCTCCTCGAGGCATGTACAGTTAAGCTTTTATATCTCATGTGGGAAACATGTTCTTAAATTCAAACTTTTTTAAGAAAAATGTTATGTTAAACAAATGTCTAACTTTGCCTTTGTCTCACTAGGTCAGTCACAGGGTCCACCAACACCCCCAACCACCCCGAAGACAGACCTTCCCTCCAGCAAAGCTGATCTGAAACGTGAGGGGCGGCCCATGCAGGAGGGCACTAGCCGCCAGCTCAACATTGATTTTGGAGCTGTGGACATCGGTGAGCTGAGCACTGATGTCATCTCCAATATAGGAAGCTTCGATGTTGATGAGTTTGATCAGTACCTGCCACCACACAGCCATGCTGGGGTGAATGGTGCAGCGCAGGCTGGTTACAGCAGCGGCTACCCTATCAACAGCTCCTCTGTCGGCCAGCCAGCCAGTGTTGGAGCCCACGCCTGGATGTCCAAGCAGCAGCAGCAGCAGCAACAGCAGCTCTCTCTGACCACTCTGGGTGGAGGAGGAGAGCAAAGCCAGCAGGGTCAACAGAGAACCACCCAGATTAAGACGGAGCAGCTGAGCCCCAGCCACTACAGTGAGCAGCAGGGCTCCCCACAGCATGTCACCTATGGGTCCTTCAACCTCCAGCACTACAGCACCAATTCTTACCCCTCCATCACCAGATCACAATATGACTATTCAGACCACCAAAGTGGTGCCAACTCCTACTACAGTCACGCAGCTGGCCAAGGCTCAAGCTTGTACTCCACCTTTAGCTACATGAGCCCCAGCCAGAGGCCGATGTACACCCCAATTGCTGACACCACCGGGGTGCCCTCTGTGCCGCAGACCCACAGTCCGCAGCACTGGGAGCAGCCCATTTACACACAACTTTCCAGGCCCTGAGGAGGCAGCCTGAGCACTGACTATACAACACATATATCCCAGACTTCTTTCTGCTAGGTGGCCTTTGCACCGTTACGTCACACACCTTTCATTGCCAACAGAAAAACATGACAAGAACTTTTTTTTTTAAGGTTCTGAAAAAACACATCTTTGGATTGGCTCACAACAGTGCCTTTTGTATTGGTTTGAATTGTGATTATATTTTTTTAGATATAATGTTTTAAAAAAAGTAAAATCCTCTGTGAGGACATACTGGCTATAAATATATTAGTATGTACTGTGTATGTGTTCTGCTCTTGTCATTACTATCATATTCAGTGTCATCAGCACCCTCGTCGTCACGATTTGAAGGTTTAACAAACGTAACAGAGCAGGAATGCCGGGTAAAAACACCCTTCAGTGGCCTTACTTCTGACTAATGTATTTTTGTACAGGAAGTAAGAAACCGTTTACTGACACTGCCGTCTCATAATAGCCTATATTCTGCTTTGAACTTTTGTACTGTACATATTTTAATGTAATTCCAATGAGATGCAAGGATTGAGCGACGCACGTTTGAAATAGATTAGAATTTTTGGCCATGATATGACCGTGTCATCAGTGAATTAGTCAAATATTCTACTTCTTGTTTGCTTTAGCTCAAATTTATTGTGTTGGAAACGCTATAGCAGGTGCCATGTAACTCTCCTAAGGGCCTTACTGTGTTGCTAGCTGTAACAGCAATGCTTGCTTTGTTTTGTTTTCATTTTGTTTTTTTGCCTTGAAACCATTGGTGCCTCAAGAGCTACGGCAGTGAGGCTTCGTCCACTTTGAATTGCAGTGTGAAAACTACAGCATAGTTCTGACTTCCTGCTTGATGAGATACAAGAAGTGACCTTTGACCCCATTATTCTCAGCAACCATCAAGTCTGAGTCCGGTGTGTTTCTATCAAGCCTTCTGCCTCAACTTTTTTTTTTCCTAACCCTTGTCTTAATTTATTCTTTAGCATTAATTTTATTTGAAAATAACTATTTGCAATTGTCGTTTTAATTCAGCAGCAGCTAGCTGAGGAGAAATAGGTTGCTGCCATATGTGGTACAAATTTGTTTATTTATCATTTGTAAATGTTTTCCTTATAAAAGTTTCTTTTATTCATGATCTAGTTATGTACAGAATACTTATAATTACACGAGTAAGTAAAAAGAAAAACTGGAAGTCTTTCCTTTTGTCACTCTATTTCTAACAAATGTCTAAATGAATATAAAAGCAGCCGTTTTGTAAAGAATTTGCTGGAATCAACATGGTTTTTTTTTTGTTTGTTTGTTTATCAAAAACATTGTGTTCCCCATTTTATATTCTGTCTCATTAGTTCCCATTTTGTCATCTTCTTAATGCAGTTTCCCTAGGTAAACATGGCATTTTCTTAAAAGCTTATCTTTTGTATTATATTTGTTTGCAATAAAAGCAAAACAGAGAAATATGTGGCCGTCTTGTCTCGCCCTGTGTTTTTGTACAGCGCTGCTCGTGGTTTCCATCTGTCAGCATTTCTCACCAACACATCTCAGAGTTTCAGGGGTGCTCTGGCAGCACGGGTACCTTAATACGGTGTGCAATAAGTAGTTATGGAAAAAGGCATCTAGTCATCACTGGAGATGGAGAACAACAATAGGATTTAGTTCAGTTGATGTGAGGAGAGACATCCCCATCAAACCAGTTACAAAAAGGTGCTGACATGAGATCAGCAGATTGGCAATGCCACTGGATGAGTCTGAATTACCTTGGAACAGAAAAGGGGGGGTGGACAACACAGATAATTTAATTTCTGCATTACTTGGAACCAGCTTGTCATCCACCAACAGCAGTAGTTTGGTAAAACTGCACATCGACACTTCTGCCTTCTCAGACCGTGAGGTCACAGGTCCATTATTACCATGGACTACTGCCAAGATGTATGTCCACCCCCAGCCCCCCTCGCCTGTATACTCAACGGCTTAAAGAAACAAACTAAACACTGAATATTTTTTAGTCATTACTGGCCTCGTAACACTGGAGCATGGCTGACCTTAATAAATCAGTGACAGTGTAAACACAATCAGGTACTATAGGTTTGTGTTGAAATTTGAGGCACATTCACAGATGACGTCTCTTTCCTCACGTCAACTGGACTAAAATCTTTTTTTTTCTTTTTCCTGCCATCCACTGCTGCACTTCATTTCACTGTGATGACTGGACATTTTTTTTAGCTTGTTCTGTAGCTACTTATTAGACATCATACTAAGGTACACAAAACTTGTATTATGGATAGAGAGCCAGATATATTAACTAGACCCATCAACCATTTCAACACCTCATTGTAATGCAGACTGGAATCGGTCTGAGTGACTTTCTCCCAAAGTTTTTTATGTGTTTTTTTCTTTCTTTTCTTTTCTTTTTTAACCATATATTGCACTCTTATGTATGAAATTGCTTCTCTAAAAATATGTCCATCAGACTAATTTATTTATTAGATAATCTAAACTGTTTGCTATTCTGAGTGAAAAATGTCTAGTGGCTGTTTAACATTTAGTTTTATGATCAAAGTAATAAAAATATAAAAGTAATGCTTTGTGACATCATAACGCCAGCTTTACTTCGTTCATCTGATCTGGGATTTTCTGTGGCTTCTGGTAAAGCGTTCAGAAACTCATATGCGGTCACTTAAGGTTTATTGTGTTGAGGACACAACACTGTCCTAAGGCTTGACTTTGGTGTCTCTGGTTAAATACAAAGGTAGTAAACTTCCCCTCTAACAGTGAGGAGCATGCGGGGCATGTGAGGCCCTGAACCTACCTCCCACAGAGAGCCCCTGAGGCACATCCATCACTGAACCTCCAGTGGCTCAAACGTGGAGCTAGGCAACAGGGCAGCAGGGCCTCAGGGCTTAGCAGGGCAAAAGGAAGGCAGTTACCGCTGATTCAGAGCAGGGCAGAACGGTGATGTGGGCGTTCATGAGAAAAGGACAGAAGAACATTAAAGAAAAGTGCCCCTTTTATCATTAAAAGCACCGATTGTCAGAAAATCTCAGGGGAAAAAAATCCATCAAGAGTTGTTAAGCACGAGTTCTTAATGAAAATAAAATGTTACCTGACTTAAAATGTCTTGATGCTGCCTGAGCTTGCTCCAGCAGGCGTGACTCAGTGCTAAGGACATGATTGGCTCCTCGTGAAAACTGCTGCCTGAAAGTTAAACTGGGGCCAATATTTCTGTTCAGTAAACAAAGAAAAAAAGTCAACTTTAGTAAACACAGGTTCGCTAGTTATAGGAAATGACCAAAACATTTTTGCTAAATTGTTTCACTCTCAGGTTGTTGGCAGTGTTAGTGCATGGGAAAATGTTAAATGTTTACACTTGCAAGTCCAGCTCTCCCCAAAAATCAATCCAGATCAATTCAGAACACATAAGGTGATCATATTAACACTTCTGGTAAAATATTAGCCTGCCTTTTTTGCTTTAATATTTTTAAAAAGTATATTTTTGATCATTTCTTTTCATTGATCCTTTCTCTGTTTCTCTGTTGTTCCTTCTATGAGAGTTAAACTCACTTGATTGATTCAGGGTGAATCAAGTGAGTCTAAGTCACTCTGTTACCGAGGAAAGGTGTTTGAATGTTTGTCTTTTATTATTCACAGAGAGCCTGGATAGGACATGTTTGAATACAGCCTCTGACTTCAGTAGAAAAAAGAAAAAAAGAGATAACGTGGATAATAGAGAACATGATGATAGCGACTTTCATCGTATTTCATCAGAATGATGTGTCATGTAGTGTTGTCAAATGGTAGCACCACGCCAGGAAATGACATCAGTATTGAGGTTTTCCCTGTGTGAGACCACAGTGATTCATTTCTCAGGCTTTTCTGCAGGCACAGGCGGTCTTGGCCAGAGGCGAGTCAAAAGTAATGTTAAATTTAATGTAATTCATCCCAAAAAATTGCCAGAAGAAATGATAATAACATTTTCCCTGATTATAACTTCTGTTAACAATTCAAAGCAACTGCACAACATCAGATATTCAGGAAACGACATATACAGTCACAGCCTATCATTACTGGGGATCTATATTAAAAACAAATCTGGGCACAGCAAAAAAAAAGAAAAAAGAAACAAGAAAAGCATCTTTCTAAACCAAGCGTCCCAGCCTGCCGAGCTAGTGAGTGGATTGGGGCTGAAATGGGGCTGCCCACCAAACAGCAGGAGTGCCCTGATGAATGTTTCCGAGAAGGATCGGAAACAAGACCAAATTTTTCTTTCTTTCTTTCTTTTTTTTTTTCAGACAGGCCTTTCCATGGGCAATTTTCCCAGGACGACTCCATTATTATTCCGCAGAGACGTCTGCCCCCTCCGAACCCTATGGGTGGTCTTTCTAAAGGCAAAAGGAAGAGGAAAAGAAAAGAAAAGCTGAAAAAAATCTGGTGATACACCCACGGTGAGTGGACGACAATAAGATACACAATAAAGTAAAACGAAACAAACCAAAAGTCGATCTCAACAACATACTGGAAGCACACCGTACGCTGATGGACTTTGTGAGTGCGCTTGTCTTTTGCTTGAAACATCAATTTTAAAAAACAAATACTGCAGATGTTCAATGAAACCAAAAATTATGGATGATATTTAGTTTATTGATGACAGGATTGTTTCAATGTCCTGTATAAAGAATTTAAATTGCTCATCCAGTCCATAAAGTTGCTTCTGAAACTATTAAGACACATCCAGATGAACTACGCTAAATCACATGGCAAGACAAGCTGACTACAAGGCTGTTTCCATGGAGGCTACACCCTCAGCTGAAGAACTACTGTGGGAGTAAATGGGGAGCAAAAAAAGGGCACATTTCCTCCGTCCTGAACTGCATTAGGTGGTGTATAGCCGAAATCGCAATATGATTACATGAGCAACAATAGAGTCTTCTTGCTATTGTGAGATTATATTTACAATAAAATTTCACAACCGTCACTGCTCAGTTTTGCTTTGTTACTGTCGGAGCAGACTTAGGAAGTAAGACTTTGCCCCAAAGCCATCCATCTTCCACAGGCCCTAGGAGGAGAGCGGCCTGTGCCAAGAGGCCGAGCCGGGCCAGCCTGCTAGAACCCTTGGTGAGTTTTGTGCCTTTGTCTGAGGATGTGGAAGAAACCTGGCACCAGCCCGAGGTCAGCAGCACAAAATTATATTACCATAATCCCATTAAGTGTGTCTGAGGCCTCATGAGCCCCAGCTCAGTCTGGGAGGAAGGTAGGTGAGGTCTGGCAGTGGGTGGTTTGTGCTAAAGTGCACAGCCAATGAATAAGATGAGACTGGCAGTTTAGGCATTTATATATATTTTTTATTTTTTTATTTTTAAGAAGTCAAAGATAAGTCAAAGATAAATAAATGAGTAAAATCTTGGTCTCAGTCAAAAACATGCCTAAAGCATGTGTTTTATATGAGTATGTGGTACGTAATATGCAAAAAAAAACATACAAAAATACAAACAAAAAGCAGTGTATTACAGAAAAAAAACATGTAAACATGCAAGACAGTCTTCCATAATTGAATCCAGGGGCCTAAACAAGAACATGGATCAACTGGGTTTGTCTATAAGCTTTATTTAATCAAGGTTTCTCATCCTTATCTCTATTATCCCTCATTGTTCAAAGAAGGATTCTCTCCAGTAATAGAGATGAGATTTTCCATCCATGTTTCCATTTGTTTCCAGTTAAGACACTTAAAGTTTTGTTGACGAATCAACCACAGATATAGTAATTTGTCTCTTACTGCGACTCTGTACCTGACAAGTCTTGACAGAACATATCATTTAACTGTCCACATTTGCTTATTCGGGACAGATTGTTTGAGAAAAGTCAAACTGACATGTCGGTAAAACTGATGCCATTCTCGCAGGGCATGAGGACTTGAAATAAGCCAAGCTCTGCTAGCTGATCCTTGAGACAAAGCCGAAGCTGTCATGTACATGGAGAAACTATGTGGCATGTAAGTCAGGCATGAAACCTAGTTCCTGTTTTGTTTCAGTGTTAAACCACACCTATTTATAAAATAAATATAGTGGAATTACTATTGCATTCATCTTTTTAATAAGACTTTTTAGCTCATAAATTATAAACAGGAGAAATATTAGGTTGCTTGTTTTCTTAGATCATAATTGTCCGTTTCTTTTATTGCATATAAACGACGACTTCTTAACTATCGAGTTATCTAATTCTCTTCCTGGGGCACAGGCTGGGAGAATTTTTACATGAAATGGGAGTGCACTGTTTGTGTTTCTTATATCTTTGTTGGTTGTCTGCAAAGCCACTGCTGTGACACAAGCTGCAGAGCATTATTAGCCGTTCAGCAGCCTGTTCTTTACTGACAGACCCCGGTATCTCAAACATACCTCCCCTATGTTTGTCCATTCCATCTACGGGACAACCAGTAAGCCTTAATCCCCAGTCTAAATAAGTTAATACCTCA